GATCTTGGAAGAAAACTAGGCAAGAGTGGTCTCACAGAAACCAAAGAAGAGACTCAAGGGAAGAGTAGTCAACAGTGTTAAATCCTGCAAGGAGACTAAACACAATGAGGACTAAAAGGAGGATTTAGCACCTGGAAAATCTTTGTTGATTTTGATAGTTTCAGTGGAGTGAGTGGTGGGCACATAAATCAGGTTGCAATGGGTTGAGGGTAAATGGGAGATTAGAAGGTGCTGGCAATTAATATAGACCATTCTTTCCAGAAGCTTGATAGTGTAAGTAGGGAGAGAGATAAACAGGGGATAGCTTGGGAAGATGTACTGAGAGAGAAATGAAATTTTATTCAAGTGAGATAGTTCTTGAGTAGATTTCTGGGTTGAAGAGAAAGAACCAGTAAAGAGAATTTGAAGTTATAGAGCAGAGAAAGTGATAACTAATGGATTGGGATCCCTAAGGACATAGAAATTTATAGAATTAAATAGCCATGAAAGGGAAGAAGAATAGTTCTTTGACTGAAACAAGTTTAGGAGTTGTCACAGGATTGGAGTCACATTGAAGACAGAGATTTTAGAGGTTTACCAGTTCTAGGTGCTGTTAGAACCTACCATGTGGCATTGGGTAGGGTGGTTGAAAGAGAATTGAAGATGATGCTAGAAGAACCACAACACTTCTCTACAGCTTATTTCTGGCTTCTCTATTTAAGATCAGAATATTATAGACTAGCTGAGTTCAAAGGCTGGTTTGTGGGGATATTTTTAATGGTTTTTTTTTTTGTTTGTTTGGTCCCTTAGAATTTGAAGTGGAAGAGTCATCCTTTAGATTGATTTAATTTTCAGCTTATGAAGCAGGTCAATTCTGCATGACAGTCTCTTGAGGCAGCAAGGGATAGTGGAGGGAGCAATGAATGGAGTCAGAAAACTTGAATTCAAGTCCTGACTCTACTGCCTAGAGCAAGATTTTCTAGTCTAATTTTGCAAGTAACTCCACTCTATCCCCTTAGGTATTAGACAGGGAGCTAAAGGATTTGTCCACCTTGGTGAATCAGGAATTAGAGTGTGTTAATCAGATTATCATCAGCCAGCCTCAAGAAGTACCTGCTCAGTTGTTGAAGGCTCTAGAAAAAGATGCTAAGAATCTTCAAAAGTCTCTCAGCTCTGTGAGTGATACTTGGAGTTCCAGACTGCTCTACCTCCAGAATGTTGTGGAAGTGAAAAAGGTAATTTTCTCATTTTTATTTATAAAAGCTCACAAGGTCTAGACAGGCTTGGAGATTTTAGTAATCCGATTTACCATTGTTTCTTAGACTAAAATGTTAAATCAACAAGTACAGCTAGAAAGCAAACTTCAAGAACTGAAGGCCTGGGTTGGCAATACCAATCTTACTCTGAACAGCAAGGAATATAACAGTGAAACAGATGCTGACAGCCTGAATCACTATCTCCAACAGTATGAGGTAAACTCTTTACCCATTCTGAAACATGTTTTATTTATCCTTGTAGTTTTATCAATTTTATTTTTCTACTAGGCAAAGCAGCATCTTTACTTATCCTTCTTAGAAAGTATGATTTTCTGTTTCAGAATAAAGCCTGATCTTAAGTTTCTTTAAGTTATCATACCCCTGGTGCTTTTGTGATTATGATTGTTTCTCTTTTCAGCTATTCAAGAGAAAGTCTACATAATGGTCTATTACTATATACTTCAGGAGCTCTGATAGTGTAGTACCTAAGGCACTTGACTGCTAACCAGAAGGCTGGCGGTTCAAACCTATCAGCCACTCCTCGAAAGGAAGGTTGGGCAATCTACTTCCATAGTGATACCACCTTGGAAACGCAAGGAGAGGTCGCTATGAGTTGGGTCCAACTCAACAGCACATAACACAACAACAACAGTGTTTTGACAGTTTTTATTGCTTTCAAGAAACAAAGTAATAAGTCTAACTGTAATCTTTCACAGTTTTAATATGTATAAGCAACATTATTTACTCTAAAAATCAATTCTTAGTGAACCCTACCAGTAACTCACTGCTGGACAAATACAAAAAATATATTTAAACCAAAGAAAATAAAATTAGAAAGGTAACTCTCAGACCAGAAATTCATGTTATACTTTCCAAAATGTTTTTGTTTTTAATTTACAAATATTTAGGATTAGCAATAGTTTAGTTCTGTTAGCATAAATAATTAAAAGTCTACTGCATTTAGAAGTCAAATCAGTAAAGGAAATTAAATTGTAATTCATGAGGACTTTGGAGAGACCAGAAGTGGGTATTTCCAGTGCTAGGTAGGCCCTAGAAGTCATCAGTGTCAGTTATGAAAGTATAAGAAATTAACCTATCTCCTTAATTCTTTGATTAGAGCCAATAGCTCCCCTATGTGGATAGAGATACACAAAATTTATTTCTCTTTTTTTTCTTCTCCTACTTGCTTTAGGATTTGAAAGAGCTTATGGCTGAAAGGAAGTCTCAGCTGGATGATCTTGCTTTTGATACTCAGTTCTTTATCTCTGAGCACGCCCAGGACTTGTCCCCCCAGCAGAACCGGCAGATGCTCAGGCTTCTTAATGAGCTACAGAGGTCCTTTCAGGACCTTGTCGAACGGGCTGCAGCTCAGATGGATGCCTTACAGGGCCATCTTCAACAAATGGAGCAAGCAGCCTTGGTTAAGGTCAGACAGAACCAGAAGCTGTACTCAGTTTGTCTTTGGAAATGTCCTCTGTCTTTGGGTTTTCTGGCCGGTCTTCATCTATCACAGAACCTGGGTTTACCAATTTTGAAGTTTTATGTCATTCAGGCCAGTATGGTTCTGGTCCCAGAGGCAGCTGTTCTGGCTGTTTTTCTTGCCATGTTTTTGGTTTTGTGTGTGAGAGTACATGTGTGTTTATGTGTGAATGCATGTGCAGGTGTGTACTTTTTAGTGACTACTCTCACTGTGTCTCACTGTATCGGACTTACAAGTGAAAATCGTATACTTAGTCCTTTCGTCCTCTTCTTTCTCCCTTAGCATCCTTTTGGGGGTTGTTAGGAACATTTAGATACCCTGAATCTTGAGAAGGATAGTTCTAAAGTCAGTTTTATCCTGGGCCTTGTCAAAGGATTTACAGTATTTTTATCAGAATTCTATTAATTTTTTAGCACTTCTTTTTATTATTTCCTAGCCCTTCACACTATAGTGTCCAGTGCCTGTTCAATCATATGCAGTGTTTAGAAGCAGGGGTGATAGATTTTGAAAAAAGACTAACATCCTATCATCTTTCGTTACAACCCTTTTCTTGTAAAACTCAACATAATCATATTAATATTAACATCATTTCTGCTATTTGAACAACAAGTTGGTATACAACAAAACAATATGATAGCTATTTTCACCAATAAAAATGTTCTAGGGGCTTCTTTATTAAATACTGTGTAAAATAGAAAAATGATAGATAGATAGATGGATGTGGGTGGGAGGAGAAAGAGAGAATTGAGCTTTGGATCCAGGCTTAAAGGAAAGCAAGTTAGTCAGTGCCAAATATTCACTATTACTGCTTAATTATTTCAACTATATTGAAATTAAAATGCTTTAGTTACCTTCCACATCTGAAAACATGTAAGTCCCTCTCTCAGTGTGGTGTGGCCTATGGATAATTAATGAAATATCATATATTACTTTCAACTACAGTTATTTATATATTATTATGTAGTTTTATAGAGAGAGAGGGACTATATATATAGAAAGGGACTTGCATGTTTTCAGATATATGCATAGTTGCCTTCCATATCTGCAAATATGCAAGTCCCTTTCTTGGTATGGAATAGCCTATGAATAATTAATGAAGTAGCATTGGTCTGAGCACTTTAAGACACAGCCCAGATCCAAAGTAGGACTCTGAGCTGGAGCAGGTGATAGAACTGCATGTGAATATTCTCCCTGAGCACATAATTAATTCCACAATGTTTATTAACCTTGTTATTGTCAGAAATGCTCTACTTCTCTCTATATTTTCCCTGAATGTGTGTGTATGTCTGTGTTAACTTGTTTGCTTTGCTTTTTTCAGATTCAGTCTACACCCATCCTAACCCATGAAGATCCCGTTTTACAGCTGAAGAGCTCTTAGGAGTTATCTTCCAGAGCCCTTCTATTTGTCCCAAAGAGGGGGAGAGAGGGCCAATTTGACCACCTGTTTGTAAGTGCAGGTGACTAAAATGCCATCAGAAGGTAGACATTGATGAAAAATTGTTTTAGAAGGATGGTCAGGAGAACACATCATGCTCAATTGCTCGGTCCGGTGCTTCAGTGTCATGCAAGTGAGATGGGATCTAGAGAAAGGATCAGGCATAGAAACATCCTTCCTCCCTCCCCTTGGGCCTGGCTTTTCCCTTTGATATCACTGTAGTCACCTGAAGGAGTGAGCCAGTTGCTATTCCTGGGCAATTTCCTTCTTCTCAATATAGCCAGCTCAAGCCCCTGGTGCCTGGCATGTAATCATTCTATTTAATGGCTTTCTGCATTTGTGAGTCGTTTGATTTATAAAGTCAGTTCAATTATTAAAAAGCTAAATTAGCTTATGAATTATCCAGATCCTTGATTTTTCCTCCTACTGTAGTCCTTCTAATTTTCCATATTTTGACTTAATATGTAGCAAATCCCCTGGTTCTAGTGGAGGAAATGATCAGAACCATCAATTTATTATCATTATCATCTATGGATTTCAACCATCTGGGATCCCTGCTCTCCATTTCCAAGGATAATAATAGCAACCTGGCAGAAAAGCCCCAAACAAAAACCTAAAGTAGGAACATTGTTTCCTGAAATGATCTTGGGTTATAATCCAGATCATAGTCCTTACACAGCAGACTATCCAAACAAGGGGAGCTTTCTGAGTATGATTTCTGTGCCTTTTCCAGTCTCCCACGCACTTTTCCATCCTTAATATGTAACCTTCCTGGTTTGTATTTCAGGAGATTATCTTGTGCTTATGAAATGACAATTGTTGTCTCTTCACTCCTTTGCATTTTAATTAGACCCTGCAGAAACAACAGAATACATGTCACCAGAAACTGGAGGATCTTTGCAACTGGGTAGGACAGGCGGAAAGGACTTTGATGGGCCACCAAGGCAGAGCCACCCAACAGGACCTGTCTACCTTACAGAAAAACCAAAGTGACTTGAAGGTCAGTATGAGTTAATCTACTTTTTTTAAATTCCTTCAGCAAGTGCTCCTAAAGCCTTGCTATGTGCCACTTAGGAAGTATCCAAATGAGAAATGAAGAATATGTAGGAATTAATGCAAGAAGGGATGGGAGGAGGAAGAAAACATACCCAGCAGAGGCTTGTATGTTAGACTTGAGATAGGAATGGGATCAAGTACAACATATTCAAGTTAACTAAAGGAAAGTTTGGCTGGGTTTAAAGAGCAAGGGAAGATTGATTGGTAAAAGATGAAGCCAGAGAGGTAGTTGGGAACTAGATCATACTGATCCTTAAAGGCCATACTAAAGATGATGAGTATAAAGTAGAGAGAGTATAAAGTACCAGCCAGGTCTCAACTCTGCTAGAATCATGCTGCCAAATTTTCCTTTATAGGAGAATGATTTCTTTGAGGATGTCATCGCAAAATAAAAATCTCTGCTATTCAACATGTTTATGGGCAGTCTCCTTTTCACCTTAATTAAATATTTGCTTAGAAAATTAAATATGTTTACATTTCTTTGCATTGATTTAGGCCTCAGCTTTAAGCAAACTGTAGTCAGCAACGTAAGTCAGTGGCAGCAATGTCATCCTGGTCACTCCATCTTTGTACTGTTAGGGAAGCAAAGTTGAAGTTTCTCCCATCTCTCTTTTCATGTGTTAAGGATTTACAGGACGACATTCAGAATCATGCCACCTCATTTGCCAGTGTTGTCAAAGACATTGAAGGGTTCCTGGAAGAGAACCAGACCAAGCTGAGCCCCCATGAGCTGACAGATCTTCGGGAAAAACTTCAACAGGCTAAAGAGCAACATGAGGCTCTCCAGGGTCGAACACGGGTGGCCCAGAAGGAACTGGAGGAAGCAGTGACCTCAGCCTTACAGCAGGAGACTGAAAAGGTAACTATAACACTTGATATTTTTCAAAAAAGAAAATTTTAGTACCTACACAAAACAGAAGCACATAGAAAGCATGCTGTTGTTGTTAGCTGCTGACGAGTTGGTTCTGACTGATAGTGATTACAAAAGAATGAAAACTCTGCCCAGTCTCTGCTATTCATAAAGTTTTCAGTGGCCAGTTTTTTCAGAAGTGGACCACCAAGTCCTTCTTCCTGGTCTGTCTTAGTCTCGATGCTCTGCTGCAACCTGTCTTCCATGGGTTTCCCTGCTGGCATTTGAAATACTGGTGGCATAGCTTCCAGCATCACAGCAATACACAAACCACCACAGTACAACCAACTGACAGATAAATGGTGGCATAGAGAGGATAGGATCACAAAAAAGGACTACTTAAGGATCAGGTCAGCGAGTCCATCTTCATTTTTACATGAAACATCCAGAAGAACTTTTAAATCAGAAGTAATAATGGTAGGAACTGCATATTACTATGCACACACACACATACAGAATGAGATTAATATCTGTATACTCACTTCTCTGGCTAATTAGAAAATTACCACCTTGGTTAGGAAGGGTAGTACATAGCATTTAATTACAGTAGGAATCAGGGCATTGGGATAAACCAAAGAGAAGATAAAGTCTGATCTTCTGTACCCCATTTAGCACTGGCAGTTAAAATTGGAATCCTTTGTTTGGCTGTAGGCTCTGACTCTAGTGAGGAAGGTAGAGAACATCGAAAAGAAAAACAAATTACATGAAGATGAATTCTAAATTCACGATTTCAGATTATGTCAGAATACATGTTAGTAAATCAATAAATAAACAGACACAACCCATTTAATTAATTAAAATACTTGAATCACAAAATAGAATTTGAGAAACAAATGCAAGCACTCAGTATTCTGCTTGGCAGAGAAAAGGACGAGAGAAGTCTGCCTTTCCCTTAGAGACAAGCAGCCAGATAATTGAATGTGACTGTGCTCTTTCTTACCCTACTTGTGTGCCACTTCTGCACCTAGAAAGGATTCCCTGAAACCTTGCTGGGGTAGGAGGACTAAATGATCTGTTAGTAAAAGCCTTTTCAAGTCCTGGGATTAGCCCTTTCTTCTTGATATTAAGAAGAAATTAAGAAATTGTTTTAAATAATTATTTTTCAACAGATGTTAGATGTTAATTCTTTTTTGTGTGTCTAAAGACTGTCCAGTCTTCCTTTAGCATAAGATTTTCCCCCTCTTAACCTATGACTGTGTAACTTACTATCTAAGGCCTTCTCACTAAATTAACTGGCTTTCAGAGTAAAGCAGCAAAGGAACTGGCAGAGAACAGGAATAAGATTGATGCTCTCTTGGACTGGGTAACTTCGTTGGGATCATCTGGTGGACAGCTGTCGGCCAGTCTTCCAAGAATGGAGCAGATCTTGGGAGCTGGCCTGGGAAAAGGAACCTTGGATGCCACTGATGGTCACAAAGGGGTGAACAAAGCCCCAGAGAAGCTGGACGAGCAATATGAGAAGATAAAGGTGAGGATGTTAGCTTCCTCACTATCTGAGGAGAATCTCTTTGGCTCTGGACAAGTCACCATGATTTCCTTTCCCTAAATCCAGTGAACTCTTCTCAGCCCATATCTTCTTTGATGTCTAAATGGCTTTTGACACTGTGTTCTTTTTACTAGGACTGCCGTTATAAATTACCACAAATTTAAATAGGTTAAAACAACAGAAATTTATCCTTTCACAGTTCTGAAGGCTAGAAGTCATAAATTAAGGTATCGGCCAGCTCATGCTCCCTGTAAAGCCTCTTAGGAGGATCATACCTTGCCTCTTATAGCTTCTGGTAACCCTAGGTATCCCTTAGTTTGTGGCAGTATAATTCTAGTCTCTGTCTCTGTCTTCACATGCTCTGTATTCACATGGCCTTCTTCCCTTTGTGTGTATTTCTGTCTCTCTTCTCCTCTTCTTGTAAGGATACCAGGCATATTGGCTTAAGGCCCACCCTGATGACCTCATCTTAACTTGATTACATCTACAAAAATCCTGTTTCCAAATAAGGTCACATTTGCAGGTAGTAGGAGTTACGATTTCAATATTATCTTCCTGGGGGACACAATTCAACCCGTAACGGACACTGTTGGTTATTCCTCTTGAAATAACTTTCTCCTTTGATTTCCATAGCACTATTCTACCCTGGTAATCCTTCTTCCTGGCTAGCTTTAGAAATACTGACATGCTTCATTTGACATCGTGTCCTAGGTCCTCTTCTTATCTTTCAGGGTGGTCTAATCTACTCACAACACTTTAGTTATCATTTGTACTGATGAATTCCATCATATATTTATCTTCAGCCCAGATGCCTGTCCTAACCTTCAAATCTGGATATGAATCCATCTGTCTGCTTGGAACTTGGAACCTCAAGCACCTTAAACCAAAAAATGAAACTCCTATTTCCTATCTAACACTGTCACTCCGTATCAAACACGTTCTTCTTCCTGTGTTGTTGTTGTTGTTATGTGCCATCGAGTCGGACCCGACTCATAGCGACCCCTCCTTGGGTTGCCCAGGCAGTATCACTACAGAAGTAGATTGCCCAACCTTTCTTCTGAGGAGAAGTGGCTGGTATTGCCTTAACTAAACAGAATCCTAGATTACTTTCTTTCCCCTACTCTACCATAGCAAATCAGTCACAGGTTCCATGTATTTTGCTTCTTATGTCTCTCTCAAAGTCATTCACGCTTCTTCCTCTCCATTGAGATGTTAGTATAGTTGAGACCACTATCAGCTTTAGCTTGTATTATTATAGCAGCTCCTACTGGTCTCCTGCCTCTTGGCTTTTACCCCCAATTCATTTCCTGTACTACCTAGTGATCTTTCTAAAATGCTATATTCTTCCTTAAAACCTTTTAATGGTTCCCTATTGTCCTTAAAAGGGGCTTTGGTGGTGCAGTGGATAAGGCATTTGCTTACTACTCAGAAAGTTTGTGATTCAAGCTCACCAGCTGCTCCATGGGAGGAAGATGAGGCAATCTACTTCTGTAAGATTTACAGCCTTGGAAACACTTTGAGGGTCACTATGAGTCAGAATTGACTCAATGGCAGTGAGTTAGTAGTTAGTTAGTGGTTAGTTAGCTCTGAAGGTGAATTCTGAACTCTTTAACATGGTTTACAATGCCTCCCTCAGGAACTATTCCTACTTACTTGGCCTTATCTCTTACCACCCCTCACACTCAAGTCTTTAGCTATATTGATCCCACAGGTCAGAGTGATCTCTTACTTGCTTCTGGGCCTTTGCATGCTCGCAGAACATTCTTGCCTCTCTGATGAGGGAAGGACCCTGTTCAGGGTTAATTTTTACTAATTTTTCAGACCATGGTTTAGAGATGAAGCCCTTCTTTACCACTTCCCAAAGTTAGATTACATATTGCTCCAATATGCTCTATTATACCCTTCCCTACATTGTAACATTTTTCACTCTTTGTTGTTTTTTTGTCTGCATTGCTCTCTAGGCTGTAGACTTAAAGGCCTATAGACACTGTTTCTTGCTCATTTTTTATTTCTGCTCATTTATTTATTCTTTAAACAAATATTGTACACCTACTGTATTTCAGGCATTGGAGATAAACCAGTGACTCAATCAGATAACCTATCTCCTAGGATATTACCTGGCACATTCAGGCATATTATATTGAATGATTTTTAAAAAGATTATATATCAAATAGTAGGGAGCAGTATTCCAGCTTTGTACAACACTCACAGCCCCCATTCTCATCCTCTGATATTTCGGGTACTTATACACACATGGATCATGTATTTTAGTCATGATACCTTTGTATCACAGGATATTCGGCTAACTGGAATACTTCTGTTGAACAGCCTGTGTGGGCCATTGCCTTATTTTGTGTTAATAGAATCTCTGCCTCTTGCATGCCACTTCTGCACTTGGAAGATACATTGTAAGTGTGTCCTCCAGGCCTGGTAGTCTGACAGTTACACAAGGCAGAGATGGTTCACTGTCCGCAGGGAGCCTCCTGACATCTTCTGCTGACGGCAGTCAGCCTGACAGTGTAGCATCTTCATCCCAGGAAGGAAACTGCTTGCATGGGTTAGAGGATGAGGTAGGGGTATCTAGCTGTTGTATAGATAAAGCTGTAATACTGCCCCCTGCTCTTTGAACAGGGTATGTTTGTCAGCCCAGCTTTCCTGAGATGATATGAGAAGCTGAAGGCTGAAGAAAAGTAGGTTAGAGTCCTTTCCTAGGTCATTGCAAGACAATATAGATAGTCAGCTCTAAACTCTCACTGTCCTCTATTAGGCTGAGGAAGAACATGATTTAAAAAAAATGCATAACTGTCTTCAAAGAACTTGTATTCCATTGGAATAGGAAAAAAAAGTCCACATATATGCACATATACATAGCTTGTACCTAAAAAAAGGTGCAAATTAACTATACTATTCAGAAATACATTTCACTCTCACTGATCTACAAACTGTTCAATAAATTAATTTTCCATGGTCTTTCATAGTAGGAATATCTTTGTGGATATGTGAGTAACATAATTCACAGCCAAAGCATCTGCAATTTTTGTATTGTCATATGTATGGCTTATTCAGCATACTCTCCCCTTCCGTGAACATGGATAATTATTAGTTGACCATTTTTATATTAGCTTAGAGTTAGGTGGCTTAATGAAAAAATCAGGTTCTGGTCCTAGTTCTGTCTCTTAATTGTGTGGCCTTAGTTAAGACATAATGACATCTTTTTTGGTATTTATTTACCTCATCTTTAGTAAGAGTAATATATTGCCTACCCACGTTAAAGGGTTGTGCCTTGAATCAAATGAGATAGTATCTGTAAAATCACTTTGAAAGCTATGAAGTCTTGTATGTAGTATCAGTTCAGCTGGTGTTAGCATATGGAATAATGCTTAGAGAGTAGGAGATATTGGTGATTTCTGAACTACTGGAAAAGTGCTCTAGTAAGACCTCACTTTACCTCTTGCTATAGACATAGCCAAATCATTGTAGTTTCCTTACTATCTTTTGTTTTGGGAAATAATTATCCAGGCTCATCACCAAGAATTGCTATCCCAGCAACAAAATTTCATCCTGGCCACCCAGTCAGCTCAGGCCTTCTTGGACCAGCATGGTCACAATCTCACACCTGAGGAACGGCAGATGTTGCAGGAGAAACTGGGAGAGCTAAAGGTACAGTATGCAACTTCCCTGACCCAGTCAGAGGCAGAGCTGAAGGGAGTGCAGAGCCTTCGAGATGAGTTGCAGAAGTTTCTGCAGGATCATAGAGAGTTTGAAAACTGGCTGGAACGGTCTGAGAAAGAACTGGAGAACATGCATAAGGGAGACAGCAGCCCTGCAGCACTTCCCTCTCTGTTGAAGCGGCAGGGGAGCTTTTCAGAGGACGTGATTTCCCACAAAGGAGACTTGAGATTTGTGACTATATCTGGACAGAAGGTCTTGGACACAAAAAACAGTTTTGAGAAAGGCAGTGAACCATCAGCAACTGGAAACTTGGTGAAGGAGAAGCTGAGGGATGCAACAGAAAGATACACTGCTCTCCATTCAAAGGTAAGGGAGAGGGTCCTGGTTTCATGGCAATTCTCAGATGACCGTAGGTAGATTCTGGGGCTTAGAGTGAGACTCTCAGGACACAGATGGGTGTGTTCATCTGTATAGTGACCCCAGGCAGAGACTGTTCTGGAGCTCCTATAAAAATGCTAAATGTGTTGGGCCCCCAGCTAATGCTTGATCTTAGCAGTATTGGAGTTTGTCTCAAGCCTCTGATAAAGGTGCTGGTGACCTTCTCGTATCCTGACCAGAAGGCTTGGGTTCCAAAGAGAGATAGCATGGGAAATCTTAAACCAATTGCACAGTCTTTATTCCTATACAGACCATCTAGGATAAATCCTTATCTTTCTATCTTATGAACTCCCTCTAGATGCTAAGGTTTAGAGTCCTATCAATTCTTCTTACCTTTGTTGTACTTTCTACCAACATCCCAAAACTCCCTAAAAGACTTTTTGCACCTTTTCATCCCTACCTTTGCCTGCAACTTGATTTATATTTCTTTGTTGGCTTGCCATATAGTTTATTAAATCTTCCTGGGTATATAATAAGGTTGGATGAAGAGTATGGAGCAAACAATGACAATCCCTTTTGTAAAAAGTCGTTGGTAGTCATCTATTCATAGAGCTCAAGCAGTACTCTTAAATGGGTTATAGTGAGTTTTCGGTAGCAAATCCAGGCCTCTTTCCTTGGGCTGTGCCCAGAAAACTGCTGCCTTTGGCCTGACCTCGCTTAAGTATGGTTTCCTTTCTTTCTCCGGCACAGTGTACACGGCTGGGTTCTCACCTGAACATGTTGTTAGGCCAGTATCAGCAATTCCAGAGCAGTGTGAACAGCCTGCAGGCCTGGATGAAGACTTGTGAGGCCAATGTGGAGAGGCTCCTGTCAGAAACTGTTGCCTCTGACCCTGGTATCCTACAACAGCAGCTTTTAACAACAAAGGTAGGATGCTGGCTGTGTTGGACTATCAAATAGACGTTGTGTTGCATGACTTTGAGTACCCCAAACAATAGCAGATACTTGCATAGGTTAAAGACAACAGTTGGGATGGTTTGAATAAGAACTGATTCCTAAACACTTTGTGCTTATCTCTGACTCTGAATAAACTGAAGATGATTCTGTAAAGCTGCTTAGCTCTAGGTTCCTAGAACCAGCTTTGATTATTTACTCAAGATATTTTTCTTTTGTCCCCTTTCATGAACAAGCAGCAGTTGCAGGAGGAATTGGCTGAGCACCAAGTACCTGTAGAAAAGCTTCAAAAAGTAGCTCATGACCTCATGGAAATTGAAGGTGTGCCAGCTCCAGACCACAAATATGCTCAAGAAACTACAGGTATGAAATAGCGACACAGATAGTTCTCCCTTAATTCCTGTTCTGTAATAGATCACATTGTTCTGTACAGGTACCTGTGGTACAAGACAAGACTAGGGCTGATGAGACAAAGATGAATAGACAGACTTATCATCAAGTAGCTTCCCCTCTCATGAACTTTATTCTTGCACAATCTAACTTTAACCCTTTTCTCCCAGGAATTTTGCCCTCTATCTTCACCCCACTTCTCCCCTTTCACAAGAAGACCAGATGTTTCTTTGTTACTTTATCCCTGAAATTTTTCCTATTGCTTAGCTGCTACCATTTATTGGGTGCTTACCATGTATGATAAAATCTTGCTCATGCTTTAAGATGTAGCAAAAAAGTCAGTCACTTTGTCAAGTCCTGACCACCACTACTACTAACTCCCCACTAAAAAACAAAAGATAGAAAATAATCGTTCTTCCTTTTAGGCTTCTCTAATATATAACTCCTACTACCAATAGAGCATTTATAATTTTCTTTTTATAGTTAATTGTGATATGCCTTCCTCTGCCTAGGAAGTGAGACATTGGCCTAGCAATTATTTTATTAGAGGGTTAAGTTTGCAGAAGGCAGAAACCTTATCTTAATTACTTTTAGGCTTCAGCATCTAGCCTGATTTCTGACACTTAGTATGTGCTAACTAAATAATGGGAACTCTGGTGGCATAGTGCCTAAGACATTTGATTGCTAGCCAGAAGGCTGGCAGTTCAAACCTACCAGCCACTCCTTGGAGGGAAGGTTGGGCAATCTACTTCCATAGAGATACCACCTCGGAAACCCAAGGAGGGCTTGCTATAAGTCGGGACCAACTCCATAGCATTGAGTTTAGTTTTTTTTTTTTCGGTTTAAGTAAATAATGCTTATTGAATTTGGCTCAAACACTAAGGGACTTTAAGCTTCTTCTTTCTATTAGTTTGTCTTGATGTCCCTTTCTATTAGTTTGTCTTGATGTCCATCATTATTATTGGTGTGCAGTTTAGATACACGCCTTTTTAAAAGCACAATATAATAATCTCTACCCTTTTTTTCCCCTGGCCTTGATTTACCAGATTCCATACTCAGCCGTTTCCAGAGCCTTTCTTGTAATCTGGCTGAGCGCTCTGCTCTGCTGCAGAAGGCAATTGCCCACTCTCAGAGTGTTCAGGAAAGCCTAGAGAGCTTATTGCAGTCCATTGGGGAAGTGGAAAGAAACCTGGGAGGGGAACAGGTGACATCACTCTCATCAGGAATCATCCAAGAAGCCCTGGCCACTAATATGGTAAGACCTGTATGCCCCTCGGGTTAGTATAGAGGGAGTCTTTACCATGTGCCAAAGTTATATTATTTTTTTAAAATATCGGAAGAGTTCATTTCCCTGCATCTTCTAGTTTTAGAAGATTTAGAGAGAAGGACTGATCCATGTAAAGATGTTTATGCCCAATTTTCAAACCATGGTTGAGCTTGAGGAAAAGTGACAACAATGTCATTTGGTGGAATGGGGTGGAGAACTAAGGGATTGAGATATAGATGTACTATGAAAGCTCAGTTGTGATTCTCCAGCCCTCTTAGGAGGTGAGCTTATAGTTTATTAGCCATTTATTCATTTGTAGCTGAGATATCTTGGGGTAAGTGAGCCAGAGCTAACAGACATGTTCTTAATGGCAGAAATTGAAGCAGGACATTGCTCGGCAAAAGAGCAGTTTGGAGGCCACTCATGAGATGGTGACCCGATTCATGGAGACAGCAGACAGCACCACAGCATCAGTGCTGCAGGGCAAACTGGCGGAGGTGAGCCAACGCTTTGAACAGCTCTGTCTACAGCAACAAGAAAAGGAGAGCTCCCTAAAGAATCTTCTGCCCCAGGCAGAGATGTTTGAGCATCTTTCTGAAAAGCTGCAGCAGTTCATGGAAAACAAAACTCGGATGCTGGCCTCTGGAAATCAGCCAGATCAAGATATTGCACATTTTTTCCAACAGATCCAGGTGAGCATACATCTGCCATAAGAAAGGCAAGGAGAGAACCAACATTTACTGAGCAGCACATGCTATGTCAGGCAGTATACCGGAAACTTTACCTGTCTTACCTTACAGAATTATAACAGCCATCCTGTTAGATACTATTTGCCCATTTTTGAAAAACACAACCTAGATTTATTTTTCACTCATACTACATGTTCAACTGAGACCAGCAAAGGGACTCAGCACATTGGGTCACACTCAAGTCACTGAGCTCACAGGTTGTTGGTGGAATAGTATTTTCAAAATAAATTCCTGGAGTGAAATTGTTGCATCAAAGGTAAATGCATGTGTAATTTTCTTAGATACAGCCAAATTCTCCTCTGTGGGGATGTCTCCATTTGCACTCCCACCAGCAATGTATGAGAGTCCCTGTGTATCACCCATAGAATGTGCTGTCAAACTTTTGAATGTTTACCAGAGTGACAGGTAAAATAGGTATTTCAGTGTAGTTTTAATTTTTCTTCTCATGAGTGAAGTTGAATATATTTTATACATTTAAGGGTCATTTATTTGTGAACTGTTGATTTGTGTCTTTTCCTATTTCAATTTTTTGTTATTTTTTCCCTCTTAATTTTTAAGAGTTCTTACATATTAGGAATATTAGCTCTTTAACTGTGATACGTGGCAGATGTTTTCTCCCATTTTTGTCCTTTGTCTTTTGACTTTGTTTATGATGTTGTGGTTTTTTTTTTTGGTGGGGGGTTTAGGATTTTCATCACTTTATTTATACATAGATTTCATGGATTAGTTTATACACATACACACATGCCCTTATACATATACACACATAATTGGTAAAAAATTGACATCGTTGTGGATGTCTTTCCATTTGTTCACATCTGTTTTTGTGTCTTTCAGGAGTGTTTTGAAATTTTATTAAGGTTTTGTACATTTTGTATTATTTTATTTCTAAGATTGTACCTTTTGTGTTGCTTTTGTAAGTGGGGTATAAGGTTTTTGCTCTTGATGTTTATATGGAGATTTTATATCTTGCTGTCATACTGAATCATTTCATTGTTTAATTTAGTTGTATTGTTAATTCTCTTGAGTTTTACAAGTATACTTTTGCATGATCTGCAAATAAAGTTTTACCTCTTCTTTACCAGTTCTTAAATCACAAATTATTTTCTTTTACTTAATTGCACTGGCTAATATCTTCAAAGAGTTTTAATAATAACGAAGACAGCATTGACCCATGTCACTTTAGTTTTGTGTATTTTACTGCACATAAATTATACTTCAATGAAATGTATTTTAAAAAATAATATTAAATAATAATGAAGATACTGTGTTAGTCCTGTTTAACAGAAGAGGCTATGGAAGCATAGAAAAACTGAGTAACTTAAGACCAAGCCATGGCTGCACAACTATGTAAATATTCTAAAACCATTCATTATGCACTTAAGATGGATGGATTTATACAGTATAAATTATATCTCAGTAAAGCTGTTTAAAAAAGAACGAAGCCAGGATTGAATTTCAGGTCATTTTGATTACAAAAACCTCCTTTTATTTTTTTCATTTTCTTATGTTTGTTTTAAGGAGGTCAGTCTCTTGATGCTTCCTGGCTATTCCCCAGTGGCTTAGAGAGATCCTGTGTGTTGAATGGTTTGATCTATCAGTTGATCCCATGCATTCGCTTATTTTCTTTTTTCACTTATTTCTAATGAGCAGACAATTGAAAACGGTTCCTTCATTGCCTTGTAGGAGCTCAATTTGGAAATGCAAGACCAACAGGAGAACCTGGATACTCTTGAGCACCTGGTTACTGAACTTAGCTCCTGTGGTTTTGTACTGGACCTATCCCAGCACCAGGATAGGGTGCAGAATCTCAAAAAGGACTTCACAGAACTACAGAAAACAGTCAAAGAAAGGTGAGTTTTCATATATGTGCTGGTCAGTGGCAGGAGCTAACGTTTTCACACTATTGGGTGCAATGATATTTCTCTCTTCCTCTTTCCTCAGAAAGGATGGCATCAAGACTTTGCTACTAAGATATAGAAGATAGCAAAGTGCCTGTTTCAGCTGTAGTTACCCAATCTACTCAATACGTAGTGTTTTGTTTTGTTTTGTTTTTAATTATTAAATAATGAATTTCATGTCAGTAATGGGCTCAGTTTTCTCTCAATAGAATCAAAAGCCCAGGTTACCTGGGCCAAAGAGCATGAACAAATTAGGGTCATAAGTAGGATTATTTGAAATAAGGAGGAAAATTGGAGACTTCCCAGACATAATTAAGGATTTTGTTGACACTTTCTGTGCTTGTTTTGACCATGTACAAATTGCTGTTTTAGAGAATGTATAGATTCTTCCTTTGAGGCAAACAAGTGAATATGTGACAAAGAAGACTTATTTTAAACTGTCAGTTCACTGTTGAAAAGCCGTGATTCTTTAGTAGAAATTATGACATGGGTTTAAGAGCATTACCAAGACTTCTTAAACAAATCTTCCTTTAGCTATATATAATCTTGGTATTGCAGATGACTGCCTTAGTTACAAGAAGAAAGCAATTTCTCAAACAAGTACTCAATTACCCATTGCTGTAGAGTTAGTTGCTGTGGACTCATGGTGACTCCATCTGTTTCAGAGTAACACTGTTACATTGAGTTTTCTTGGCTAGTGGTGCAGCAGTTAAGCATTAGGCTGCTAACCTAATGGTTGGCAGTTCAGACTCACCCCATGGCTCTGCAGGCAAAAGACCTGGCAATCTGCTCCCATAAAGATTACATCCTAGAAAACCCTATAGCATAGTTTACTCTGTCACATGGGGTCACTATGAGTCAAAATCAACATCACAATATACAGCAACAACAGTCTTTACAGAAGCAGGTCACCAGGCCTTTCTTCCACAGAGCTTTATGTTGGCAAAACACCCAGAGGCCTTATAAGTACTAAGTTATTGTGTGTTGTCATATTGACCGTATAGGACCCTATAGAACTGCCCCATAGGGTTTCCTAGATTGTAAATCTTTACAACATCATATTATCTGGTCCTTTCTCCTGAAAATCTACTGGTGAGTTTGAACCACCAACCTCACTTTTCATTTAACAGACCAGTACTTAACCATTGCATAGTGGAAGGGATGGGGACAAACACCAAGAAGCTTTTGTTTTCCTTCCCGTACATTTGACGGCCTTTTAGCTGTGTGTGAAACCAGGATCTCTGGCCTGAGTGATACATGTGGCCATTTCCAAAACTGTGATTGAATTCTCTGTGATTTATTTTCTTCATTGGTGTGTTCCACCCAGGACTAATCACTTCTCTGAGCCAAGTTTAGCATCTTGCTTGCAAAAGAAATTAGCCTTTCAGCTGGGCCTTGAAAGAGTCAAATACCTAAAAAGTAGCAGCTGGAATTTAGATCCAAGGCCTGCATTCTTTCCATTGTATCATAGTGCCTATTTAAATAACAGGCTCCTTTTAGTTTTTCTCACTTTCACTTAAGCCTGAGTAAGATTGAAGGCTCCTTCCCTCAGGAATGTCTAAACAAGGGCAATAGCTTCCAGAGTTTGACACTCTCCTATATTATATGTGGTTGTTTAGTCAAACCTGCTGTGGAAAAGATCTGGAAAGGAAAGTCCCTGCTAGGAACTGGTGCTCAGAGTTCCAGCATGAAACCTAGTCTTAGCTCCGTTGACTTCTCTACAAAGTTTAGTCTGTCAAGTAACAAAACTTCTTCATTGACAGAGAGGAAGATGCGTCATCTTGCCAGGAGCAATTGGATGGATTCAGAAAGTTAGTTAGGACCTTCCAGAAATGGCTTAAGGAAACTGAAGAGAGTATTCCACCTACAGAGACTTTCAGGAGCACTAAAGAACTGGAAAAAGAGATTGAACACCTGAAGGTAGGTAAACAAAAGGGTCTCTAGGAGTCAGGCTATGCAGCTTATTTGGACTAATCTCCAAATGTGGTAGGGTAATAGTATGAGAAATCTAAGTTAACAGTCTGCAAGTTATCAGAATAGGAATTTTTCCATTCTTTTTATGTTGTTCCCACCTACCCAAGAACTGAGCTCCATAATATCTCCTGTTTTCAAAAACAGAAAAAAAGTCTTCTAGGAATAAAATACATAAAGTTCCAGCTGTTTCTTGGGTGTCTCTGGTGTGATGGTGGATTATATAATAGACAGTTGTCAAAGTCCAATCGTTAAGAAGCTGTCTCTCTTTTTTCACAACAGTCTTTACAGAAGCAGGTCACCAAGCCTTTCTTCCATAGAGCTTTATGTTGGCAAACCTTTAGGGTGGCAAAACACCCAGGGATATTTGAGAATTGTCAGATACTTACAAACAAGCATAATAGGGGAAAAGGAGTCCAGATTCAAACAGGTTCAGTAGAGACCCTGTTATTAAGCCTTAGATAGAACAAAGACAATCCAGGATGAGAGAACCATCAGCATGTACACAGTACGGAAAGCTGAATGGAGTCTGCTGAGTTACAGCCATGGGGCTAATTATATATGATTAAAAACAAAGGGAATCATCACAAAATCATGATTGGTGGCACATCAATTCATCATTGTCACAGGTGGGACTACAGAAAGGTCCATGATTAGGATATGTATGTAACTGAACATTAAAAAGGGTTACAAGATTGGTTCTGGGGCTTGACCATGTAGCTAGGTGGTGGTCTAGATATGACTCTTGACCATGACACTTAAGTCAAGCTACAATGCCAGGGCCCCAACCTTAATTTAAATTAGATAAGGATGCACCCAGGCCAGTTCTCTAGTTCTTTGTGTGAGCTCAATCAGCTTTCAACCCCAGTCTTCCTGAGGGCATACTGCCTCTCCCTAGGTTTGTCCTGGACGTCGTCTATGCATAGCCACAATTTTGGTTTAAGGGTCAGAAAGAACTCAAAAGGCATCTAAAACTTATGTCAAGCCTCAAAGTAGAGTTAGGGCTCCCACTGTAGACCACAGCTTTTCACAAACCAAGTGCTTTAGAGTTTAAGCTCTAATGCACAAGTAACCAGAACATGATAAGGAAATTGAGAAGGAAAGAGCTAGCAGTAAGTACTCCAGCGAATAAAGGAAAAGTTAAAATCAGATGGTTAGAAGGGTACCCTCAAGGATAGACCAAGCTTCCTCCTATCCCCTGAAGAATCCCTCTGTACCATCTTTTTTTTTTTTTTTAATTTTTATTGTGATTTGGGTGAAAGTTCATAAAGTAGATTTGTTTTACAGTTCATATGTACTTTGTTGTTTACATAAATGACTGTTTTAATCTTTTCATTTTAATTTTTATTGTGATTTGGGTGAAAGTTTACAGAGCAAATTCATTTTCCATATAGCAGCTCACATACACTTTGTCTCATGACATTGACTGTAATTTCCCACAATGCAACAGCTCCCCTCCCACTTCCTTTCCATGGTTACCTCTTCCCTGTGTCCTTCCCTCCCATGCACTCCTGCCCCACGAGCTGTCTCCTTGCGTGTACACAGTGTTTCTATTCTCCCATGAGTGATCCCTCCGAGGAGTGTATCTACCAATGTTCAGCTCATATGCTTGTCTTATGTTTCGCTGGAAGCCACAGGAGTGGGTTCAATTCCAGATCATATACATTTTGTTTTGTGATGCTATACCATTTTTGATTCATAGTCGGACATCCAGCCTCTGCCCACACTGGTAACATATCTCTTGTTTTTGTTGGAATCTGCCAAATCTGCCTATAACTGACATGTGTACATTTGTCCTTATTTTCTCGGTTAAGCAGGCTTTATCTTGAGCAGAAAAAAGAGAAGCGTTTAATTGCTTGCAGAGAGCATTTGCTATGGGGAATTCCCTAGGGCAGAAGTTCCCAAACTTTCTTGTTTCCCAAGTTAATGTTCCTGTAAATTTTTCTCAAACACCTCTAGGCCAAAAACTACCTGTCAGTTCCACTCTAAGTAATTTGGTCCAAACAACTTAATAGTAGTTGTTCATGTGGTGGCCAAAAGATGTCACTGTATTTCCCTCAAAACATTTAAAATATCTTGTTAGTCAATGAAATTTGAGGGCTGTGGCCCTGTGGAATCAAAAGTGATCAATAAGAGAAATGATAAGCAATGATTGAGGATCAGTGTGAAGTTAGGCAGCACGAGTTTGCTAGATGTAAAGGTTCTGTCTTTCTCTGCTACTGCTCTGCAGCTTAAAGTCAAAAACCAAGTTAATTGCCAGGGAAATTCAGTGTGGAAGAAGGGAATAAAGACTAAGATAGCGGCCTGCTTTGAAAGGAATAAAATTCTGCTCTGGCATATAATCCACATCTTGGAGATTTAGCACCAAGTGGTACTTTTGGCCTTAACCAAACGCGGTTGTTTGCTATCATCTATCACAGTAATTAGAACTCTGGCTTCCAACCCAACCTAAGTTCCCTTGATAAATGCAAAGTGTAGCCTGTTGTTGTTGTTGTTGTT